CCCAGCAATCTAGATTCCAGCTTGTGATTCTTCCAGCCCAGCATTTCACATAATGTACTCTGTATAGAACATAAATAAACAGGGTGACAATAGACAGCCTTGTCAAACTCCTTTTCGAATTTTGACCAGTCTGTTCCTTGTCCAGTTCTAACCATTGCTTCTTGACATGTATTTAGGTTTCTCAGGAGACAGGTAAGGTGGTCTGGTATTCCCATCTCTTTAAGAATTTTCCACAGTTTGTTGTGATCCACACAATCAAAGGCTTTAGTGTCAATGAAGCAGAAGTAGATGTTTTCCTGAAATTCCCTTGATTTCACTATGTTCTAGTGTATGTTGGCAATTTGCTCTCTGGCTTCTCAGCCTTTTCTAAATTCAGCTTGTACATCTCGAAGTTCTCGGTTCACATACTGTTGAAGCCTAGCTTTGAAGGATTTTGAGCATAACCTTGCTAGCATGTGAAATGAGCACAATTGTACGGTAGTTTGAACATTGTTTGGCGTTGCCCTTCTTTGGGATTGGAATGAAAACTGACCGTTTCCAGTCCTGTGACCACTGCTGAGTTTTCTACATTTGCTGACATGAGTGCAGCACTCTAACAGCATCGTCTTTTAAGATTTTAAATAGCTCAGCTGGAATTCCATCACTTCTACTAGCTTTGTTTGTAGTAATGCTTCCTAATGCCCATTGATTTTACCCTCCAGGATGTTTGGCTCTAGGTGAGTGACCACAGCATCATTCAGGTATGAGCGGCATCAGATCCCTTATGGTTATACAGTGGAGGTGACAAATAGGTACAAGGAATTAGATCTGGTAAACAGTGACTGAAGAACTACAGTGTTACAGAGGTTTGTAACACTGTACAGAACGTGGTGACCAGAGCCATTCCAAAGGAAAAGAACTGCAAGAAGGCAAAGTGGTTGTCTGAAGTTGTTGTTTGGTCGCTCAGTTGTGTCCGATTTAACAACCCCATGGACTGCAGCACACCTGGCTTCCCTGTTCTCACCATCTCCCAGAGCTTGCTCAGACTCCTGTTCATTGAGTCGGTGATGCCATCCAACCATCTTATCCTCTTTCATCCCCTTCTCCTCCTACCTTCAGTCTTTACTAGCATCAGGGTCTTTTCTAATGAGTAGACTCTTCGCATCAGCTGGCCCAAAGTATTGGAGCTTCAACTTCAGCATCAGTCCTTCAGTGAATATTCAGGGTTGATTTCCTTTAGGATTGACTGGTTCGATCTCCTTGCAGTCCAAGTAACTCTCAGGAGTCTTCTCCAACACCATAGTTTAAAAGCATCAAGTCTTTGGTGTTCAGCGGCCTTTATGGTCCTAGTCTCACATCCATACACGACTACTGGAAAAACCACAACTTTGACTATCTGGACCTTTGTCGGCAAAGTGATGTCTCTGCTTTTTAATATGCTGTCTAGGTTTTTCATGGCTTTTCTTCCAAGGAGCAAGTGTCTTCATTTCATGGCTGCAGTCACCATCTGCAGTGATTTTGGAGCCCAAGAAAGAAGTCTGTCACTATTTCCATTGTTTTCCCATCTATTTGCCATGAAGTAATGTCTGAGGAGGCTTTCTAAATAGCTTAGGAAAGAAGAGAAGCAAAAGGCAAGGGAGAAAGGGAAAGATATACCAACTGAATGTAGAGTTCAGAGAATAGTAAGGAGAGATAAGAAAGCTTTAGTGAACAGTGTGAAGAAATACAGGAAAGCAATAGAAAGGGAAGCACTAGAAATCTCTTAAAGAAAATTGGAGATATCAAGGGAACATTTCATGCAAGAATGGGCGTGATAAAGGATAGAAATGTTAAGAACCTAGCAGAAGCAGAAGAGGTGGCAAGGATACACAGAAAAACTATATTAAAAAAGTCTTAATGACCTGGATAACTGTGATGATGTGGTCACTCACCTAGAGCCAGGCACGCTGAGTGTGAAGTCAAGTAGGTCTTAGGAAGCGTTTTCAGATAGCTTTTCTTCGTACTCATTCCTCAGCATCAGGGCACGTTTGCTGCTGGGGGCAGCGCTATTTCCTGCCTTCCTCTAGGAGTGGACCGACGTGATGTTACACATGAACGGCTTGTCACGTGGCAGGTGCACAAGTCGGTTTTGCTCCCGCCACCCTCCCAGATCGGGCTCTGCTCCTCCCTCTGAGGCAGGGGAATCTTCCTTTGGGCCTGGGATGTGGGAGGCTTTCTGCATCTCCTCTCCTGGCTGAAGGTTTTGTTTCATGTGAGATGCCACTTAATGGGGAGGAGCTCTCCATTATCTTTACTTTTATCTTTAATATTCAGTGGGTTGAAATATTCAGCAGATTGACTGTTAGCTGTTTCCTTTGCATCTGTGGGTTGATGTCTGATACCATTTTTGCAATGTTCTTGGCCATTATCTCTTCTTATGCTTTTTCTGCCCCATTCATTTCCTGGGATCCCAGTTATACTCCCCTTAAACCCAAGTTCACATTTGATGTTGGATGTTCTGGGATTTCTTTCCACACTTTTTTTTTCTCTTTGTGTTTAAATCTGAGCACTTTAATTTGGCCTGTCTTCAGATTCACTGCTTATTTCTGTCTGTTTCTAAATCCATCTAAAGAGATCTTTAATTTCTGATATTGTATTTTTCATTTCTCACATTTCCCTGTGATTTTTTTTTTATAGCTTCAGTGTTTGTGATGAAAATCTCTTGTTTTGTTATTCATGCTGTCTTTCCCATCAGTGTTCATCACAGTTAAAAGTATGTCTGATAATCTCCAAATCTAGGCCCTCTGATCTGATTATATTAATACTGTCCTCTTTGGACTATGGTTTGCTACTCTCTCTGTCTTGTAGTTTTTGATTGAATGCTGAATGTTTCTGTAAAATCAATGCAATGGCCCATCATTTCTTGTGAGGCTAAGTGATAAGATGTGTGTGTGGTTGACCTAGTTCTCAGCTTGTTTGCAACTTCAGCTTGATTAGCTCAAGTGTTTTGAGAGTAGGCTTAAGACTTCACATTCTACAAGATTTGTTGTCTTATTGTAATTTTAGTTCTCTCCCTATGCTTTGTATCTGAGCCATCAGCTTTCTGAACTGTGGGTGATTTCTCTGCTTTTCTCTGGGTTCTTGTGATTCTGGAGTGCTACCCCAGGCTCCTGTATCTTCCAGTGCTTTCTGTCAGCAATCCTTTCCTACCCTAGCCTTGGTAGTTCAATTTACAGAGTATCTCCGTAGAAGTTCTTGTCTCAGCTGTCCTGTCCCACATCAGCTTAGGCAGCTCAATGTCTGGAGTCTCTTGGATTAATTTCTCTTACCTCTCCTCTGCAGGGCATTTGAGGAAGACCTTTAGCTTCTTGGGTTATCTCAGCTTTCAAGCCTTGTCCTCTACCCTTTGGCACATTTTGGCCAACACTTGGCGCAGGTCTGTGGGATTGAGTGGTTGAGTAGTGCAGACTTGTTCTGTGGAATCCTTGGAATTCTAATATATCTTGTCAGCTTATGTGTTGCTGTTAAAATGTATTAAAATTTAGGTTGATTTCTCCTTATTCTCCCTGTGGTGGGATTATTCCTCCATAGCCACTCTGCCAGGAAAGAGACCATCTGTGGGTTCCTTTTTCTATCAAGACTCAACACTTTTTGTAACTTAGTTCCACTCAGGTTACTTTGAATCTTAAACTTCCTGATGGGTTCAGAAAAACCATGATTTTATATCTTTTCTGTCTTGTATTGATTGTTAGGGTGAAAGTGATGATCTGTTGTGATCTTTTACATCCTGATTAGAAGTGGAACTCCTTTATGGATTACTTTCTGATATATAATCTAGCAAATACGTGATCAAGTTTGTTATTTCACTTTGCTGCAGTTGGATTTTCTACTGAATTTCTCAGAGCTAGATTTTGAAATATTTTCCATTCTTCTCAAATCTGAACTCTCCAGTTCTGTCCTCAAGTGGCAAATTATCTTCTCTCTTACTTTGAGATTAAAGCCATTGACATTAAATTGTAATTGAGGGGCTTGTGGAGAGAGTGGGAAGAATTTGCGGTAGCTGCTGAGGAAACTGGGCAGATGAGAAACTGACATAGTTATAGCTGTAGGGAAGAGAGTTGTACAGAAAGGAGCACATGGTTGTGTAATAGTTCACTGCTAATCTCATCAGGTGGAAAACTACAGTTGGGAGATAGTTATTTTTAAAGTTGGAGGAAAGCAAGTGACTGTGGTGTAAATCCTGATTTTCCTGTAGAAAAGTCGATAAGTATATCTAAACTTGATGGTTTCAAGGGCTATCATTACTGAGGTATAAATAGCAAGAATAAATTTAAAAGACTTTAAGGAATTTGTACCTTGGTGTAAGAAGAGGAGCTGTATTTGACTTTATTCCCTGTACATGTTGTTACTTAGATAAAAATGAACATTTTTAAAAAATAAGCTTAATTAATAGTCTTCTCAGGGGATGGTAAAAGTGAACCAAGTCTTTTCTTCACAGACTCTTTTTACTTTTACTTCTTCCTTTTTGTTTACTTCACACTTGATACCTTTTCCTTGGTTACAACTTTAGATTTTCCATTATGATACTTAGCTATGAAAGTTGAAAACTTTGGGGTTGTTGGGCTTGTAAATTAAAAAGTATCTTTTGTTAACGTGTTTTGAGAATAGATTGAAATGCCAAAAAGTGAGGAAAACTTTCTTTTGGTGAAAATACTTTATTGATACTATTAAAAATTAAAAATAAAGTAGTATGGGTAATGAGAAACTTGTCCGGTGTTGATAAAGATAAGAGATTTTACTTGCAAAAGTATTATATTTATCCACTTATAAAGTTATCTTGTTTTTAGAAGAATTTGTTTTTTTCACAGTTCATTTAAATTGGTAAAGATATTTTCAAGGGTGAAAAAGATAACTCTGAACGTCTTTTGTGAAAGTAATAATTTGAATTTGTTTCATCTTGTAATTGGCTTTTGGTACTGTGCTAAAACTAGTGGTTGATCGTAAAGTTAGGCTCTAAACTATTCTTTCGGTGTCTCTTCTAGGTTAGATTAAGGAGGATATTTTCTTAGAGTGGACCACCGCTTTCAGTAAGACCATGTCGTCCATCCTGCCGTTCACTCCACCAGTTGTGAAGAGACTGTTGGGATGGAAGAAGTCAGCTGGTGGATCTGGAGGAGCGGGTGGAGGAGAGCAGAATGGACAGGAAGAAAAGTGGTGTGAGAAAGCAGTTAAAAGTTTGGTGAAGAAGCTGAAGAAAACAGGACGATTAGATGAGCTTGAGAAAGCCATCACCACTCAGAATTGTAATACTAAATGTGTTACCATACCAAGGTAAGTGTTGTTAGATAAGAAATTTGAGGGCCTTACTGTTGAAAGTTGCTTAAAGGAATCTAAGGGAACGTTACTGAAGTTTTGTTACTTTCAAGTCACCCATCAGTAGTGATTATTAAAATAAGATAGCTGTTCTTAAACCTGTCACATTAATTTTGTTTGACTCATTAAGACTTATTTTAGAAATCATTTTCTTGAATAGTGAGAAGGTTAATCAAGCCAAATAAAATACTTAGATTGTATTTTTATCTCCACTGTCTTCATTTACCTTCATTGCCTAAATGCTCCATTGTATGCTTTTATAATTTCTGTGATCAAATTTGAATAAAGAGTCAAAGATTTTCTATCACTAGCACAGTAGTGACTGACTGTTTTCTCCTCCTTTGGTCAAAACTTCAGTAAGGAGTTAACAGAAGCAGCTCACATTGTGATGAATTTTGTAGTTTTTATTTGAGTTACAGCATTACTTTTAACAAAGAACCGTATGTAAGACAGCTTCCTGTGTGTCATAGTTGGTCAGAACCTGTCTTGAAGATCTGCCTCTTGTATTAGGATGTGTTACCTAAGAGGTTGAAGTTTTATTAGTATAAGTTTAATCATTTTCAGACTAGTACCACTTTCAGAAATAGTGTTTTTTAAAATAAAGTAGCAAGTGGTTTTAATTTGTACTGCTATAATTGTGCACATTATAGAGTTTGAGGGAGTGTCAGTTTATTGCATTTTGTAAAATGATTGTTTGCAGTGTCATACACATAGGCTAGCCATATGGCATGTGAAACCATTCTACTTGACATGTTTCTAATGAGTTTTGGGAAATACACTGTGGATGCTTGTTGATAATAGAGCCTAGTAACACCAGCCTATCTACTTGCAAATACTAACAGAATGTTTCCTGCCTTGTTTGGTAGATTAATTATCCATTTCTTTTACCTTGCTTGTTTCATGTATTTCTTAAGTAAGAGTCGCTTTTCCTGGTTTACTCTTTCATTTTAGAAATGTTTATAGATGCCTGACATTTCAGTTCAGTGAACAGTTGTTAATATCAACATATAGTCTTTGCCGTTGAGTTGCTTACTTCCTAGTAAGGGAGGTAAACTTGAAAAAAGAAGAAAGATAGTTTTATAATATACAGTAGGCATTCTGAAAGATGTATGCTCAGGGAGTAGTGTCCAAAGTGGGAAGCCTTCTCTATTCTGCAGCTTGTGAAAATTTTCCTCCTGAAGAAAGATTGGTGGCCGAGTTGGATGGATGTCAAGGAGGAATTTAGGAGAAGCTTGATTCACCCAGAGTGGCGCAGTAGTATGGACAGTGTGGCGGTGGGGAGGCCCGGTGACTGGGGTCCTGGGAGTGTAGGGGAGGAGACGGGAGATGGCGGGCCTCAGAGGCTGCCTGGAGTTGAGGAAGCACTGCATCCCGTGCTGGGGGTTCACACTGAACCTGAGCGTGAGTGGGTGATGGGGGAGACATCAGAGAGTCTTAGGTAAAGAAGTGAGGAAAAGGGCCGTGAGACTGTCAAGAGCGGAGGTGGAGACTGGTTAGTATGTTTCCTCCTCATCCAAGGGAGCAGTGCGGTCCAGGAAGACATGGGGCCATGGTTTGGCACAGCTCCATTTAAGGCCCTGCTGCCAGTGCGGTGATGTGTTGGCGGAGCGAAGCTGCGAGGAGGGTCGTGCAGTCCTGTCTCTTAAGGAGATTCAGTAGGTAGCAGCCTCTTGATTAAAATGTATAGACTTTATATTTAAACTATGGAAGTCCCCTCAGTCAGATTTCTTTTCCTCCTTGTCCATTTTTCATTTTACACTCTGGTTTCAGAGGGGTTTTTTTTTTTTTTTTTTAACATTCTAGGACTTTTTCTTCATTTAAAGATTTTTTCCCCCAACACTTTCACCTGATTAATGAAAGTGAAGTGTTGCTTGTCCACTATCTTGTGTTTCACTCTTTAATAAAAGTTCCTTGAAGCTTAGAAACTTGCTTATCTAATTTTGTGCGTTTTTTTTTTTTTTAATACTGCAAGAAATGTAGATTTAATATTGGCTGTTGTCTATCAAAAAATTTAAGTTTCTTGTACTGTTTGGAACCATATATTTTTTGAAGTTTGCTTTCTTGTTCATAGTTGAAAATTGTATCAGATTATTAGTCATTTCTTAACTACTAAATATCCTTAAACATTTGGTCAACTTGTCATGGTGTCAGCTGTAAAACAGGGAAAGTGGGTGCAGAAAGGGCCCGTTGTGGAGGAATCCAAACCTCAGCTTAAGCAAAATTATATAAGATGTAATGCAAAATGGATTTACTGTATGTCTGTTAGCTTAAAATTGCAAGTGAATTGTTAATAAAATACCATTAGGTGTTGATGTCTTGATGTTTTCATCATGTATTGATGAACATGAGGCATAAATTGCTTAAATTTTTAAAATGGTAAATATTCTTAAATGGTCAGTGTCTCATTGACTCTCAACAGTTTCTTTCCCTCCACCTCCATCTGCTAATGTTAGAGTGGGACTAAATTGTGGGTAGAAACATAGGCCTGACTTTATATCCCTCCCACCCCCCTCATATAATTAGCTCTGCCTTCATCACTTTGTCTCTGAAGAAAGGATAGCTGTGGCTGCACATGTGTCACTGCTTCCTTCCTACTGTTGTATGTGGTGACAAAAAGTAATTCATGAGTAGAACTTAACCTACTAAGCTGCAGTGAGCTGAATAGTATAAATAAAGTTTCATGAAGCTTTTCCATCTCAAGACAACTCAGTCAGAAATCAGAACGGCAACTGATGTTTAACAAATCAGTCAAAAGAAGAAAAATGGGCTTTCAGTGCATATTATCTACAGAAAAACAAAATCAAAACAGCAGTGGAGATGGAGAGCTTGTAAAGTTAAAAACGAGGCTGTGAGGTCTGAATGCTAATTTGATAATGTTTGTTTTACACAAATAAGCGAGAATGCAGAATTTTTTTCGTAAATATAAATTATAAGGACTTTCCTAAGGTGTTACTTTGTGTTTGACTATCTATGACATTTTGATGGTTCATCCTAAAGAAACAGGAATATGGTCAAAGATTTCTGGTGTTCATTTCAGCGATGTTTTTAATAGCAAAGAATTAGATAAATTCAATCATAACCCATAGTTTCCTTGACTATAAAGGAAACTTCCATAACTCATTTTATACCAGGGATGAACGGTAAAGTAAAATTGAATAGCAAAAGTAAAGTTTATACCAATTTTACTCGTAAAAATAGATGCAAAAATTATAAATAAAACTTAAATTATAAAAGCAAAACCACCAAATCATGAGTAGGTAAGGTTTACTGCAGGAATGCTAGTATGATTCACCTGTAGGAGGTTAGTTAATAGGAGACACTGCATATTCATATTTATGAAAGCTCTGATCTTAGTGGATCTAGAAAGAGCTTTTTATAAAATCCAGTGCTCATATTAACAAATTAGGAATAGGAATTTTCTCAAGTTGATAAAACATAAAAGTGTTAATGCTTAATCTTGAAACTTTAGAAGAAATAATGCCACGTTGTTAATAGTGATTACTTATGGATTACCTAAAAAGAGAAATGTCCTATAATTTTTCCCAAGTATTTATCTATGAAAGTATGTTTTACTTTTGTAGTCAGCACAATTAATTAAATGTTTAAAAAGAACTTTTTTGGCAATACTTAGACTATTCTATATTTTTTAAAACGCTTTAAGTCAACTTTCCTGTTACAGGGAAACAATATTTTCGCTTTCTTAACATTCTGATACATGTGTTTACATTTTTTCCTTTAAAAAGTTTGTTACTTAAAAAGATAAAAGTAGTATGTGTTGTACATGATTCCAAATTCGAACACACATTATCCAGTGGGAAAACTCCTCTCTCCCCTCCTGTCATCACCCATCTCCTCACCCAGTTGTATTACTAGTGTCTTACATATCCTTCTAGGATACTGAGTATCTTATTAATGCTGTCACTGACATTTGGATTTTGTTTTCCATCTTCCAAATTTTTAAACATCAGAGTAATTGAAGTAAACTTTATGGAGATTGTCAGCTTTTATTTTTAGTTTCATATTCCTACTCTTGCTTCTCTGGATAACCCAGGAAGAATTAAAGTCTTTAAAAACCAAACTGTAGTATCCTTCAGTTCTTAAATTAGTGTTTTTTATTTCAGAAGAAAATGAGAATGATTCTTTCTCCCTCATACGTCGATGTATGTGTGTGTATGAGATAATATATATGGAGTACTATGACAGAAAGAACTCTAAATTTGAAGTTTGATGACTTGTAAGCTTCTTCAGTACTGATGCATGTGAATCCTAAGGCATGTAACTATTTTTGACTATTTCTTCATCTGTGAAAGGGGTCAGTACTATCTTGAGTTCTTTCACAGTACTCTGCTGGGGTCTTCTGAAATACTATAACTGTTGGTTTATTTGCTGTAAGCACTATAGTCATGAATATGACTTATTTGAAATGTTCTCAGGTATGCAATGTCTTCATTTTCCTTCCAGATTTTCTAAGAAAACTCATATTAAATTATAATTGTCTATCTTTGCTTAGTAAACGCTTCTGCCAGATAACTATCATGATTTAGTATAACTATTATTTATAAAATCAATTAGTCAAAACAGTGAAACAGTATATAAATGCGAACTAGAACTTTGAGACTATCAGCCTCAGCATCCAACTTGTCATTTTCTGTCTGTGTGATCTGTGTATAAGTTGTGAAAGCACTTCTGATGAACACTTCATTAGGCTCCTGTGAAACACAGTTTGAAAGACACATTGCTAAGACCCTTAACCTTTATCTGATGCCTACATTTACATTTTGATTTTTTCTGAGGTAGCGCATGCTGTAGGATCCTGGTATTCAAAGTCCTTTTGTGTATATAATACATTCTTCCATGGGGCATTTTTATCATTTACCTTATCAGAGTAAACATACCTGCCCTAGAACCTAGGTTCCTTTATAAAGTTACAGAATTATTACCCAGATTTACTATTATCT